AAAAAAAAAAAGGAAAAACTAAAAAAAAAAAAGAAAGAAAGAAAGAAAGATAAGCTAGCCTTGTATTTTTCGGTATATATATATACATACGATGTGTCTACCCTAGGTAATTTCCGTTCTCGTTTCTGTTTCCGTTTCCCGTTTTCCGTTCGTTTAAGTCACGAAACTCCGGGCGCACACCCGGAGCTGGCTCGGGAACCGGCCTCGATTTTCGTAACATGTGCCTCTGGTGTGTGTGTCGACAGCTCGGGCATCGACAATAATCCGACGGTGTTTTATCGGCTAATGCCTGGCTCCACCGCGCAGACCAACAAGTTTCACACGTTTTACCTTCAGCAACGGGCTGAGAAGTCTGTCACCTGGGCGGACATCAAGGTGAACCATCAGCTGGACTACGAGAGCATAAAGGAGTACAATCTGACGATACGAGTCGAGGTACGTGCGCGAAACGTGAAATTATTATTATTATATTATTATTATATTTACATTATTGTTATATGATTATTATTATATGTATTTCGCATATTTCGTTTTCACCGCAAGTCGTGGAAAACCTCAGCACACTTTGAAATGCATCCGCGGGGTCTCGCCAAGTTGTTGATATGTTTTTAGTTTGGCTAGTTCCAGCGGACGCGCAACGACTTTCCAGCCAATGTTGTTTGATCTTGTACTACGTTCGCCGAGAAGTTCCCCGCTTCGCCACTTTTCGGCTCGAAAACTCCTCGTGGCTTTCGTATTTTTTCGTTATAAGGCGCCGTGGTTCCCAAATTCGAACGGCACGGATCAAACGTTGTAAAATTCATATTCAAGGACCATTTGATTTCTCAAATTTGGAAAAATTTCTCTGTACATCCGAGAGGATTGATGAATAAAACGCGATCAATAAATTCCACAGAAAGTTCGTTCTCTGTTGAAATTGTCGCTGAATGTACAATCTCCTCGGTTGAACAACTCGGTTAATTTTTCTCTTGATTTATTTTATTGAGAAAGCGGAGCAACTTGAAAAATCCGAATCGCGGTATTTATTTTTATTTCAACGGCACCGCGTCCGTAATCTCCACGGTAATATCTTCCTCCAACGATAAAATACAATCCATTTCTGCGTTAATGTCCATTCAGTCGGCGAGATTGCCTTTGTTCTCCGTTTCCGCTCGCTCTCGACGAAAATTCGATGTCTCCGATTTGCTAAATCGTTCAAGATGACGCGTCGAAAAGAAAAAAAAAAAAAAAAACGGCAGTTCGCAGTGGACGACCGGGGCGATAAGAGTGGCCGAAACTGCAAAATACATTCCGTATTATCGCGCCGTGCTTAAAATTATTGAAATACAAGAGCGCTCGACGTTTAAATTTGAATTTGAATCGCTCGCGATGTTTGAAATAATCCGAGCGTAATATTATTCTCATTTTTAAAAAAAAAGAAATAATTGAACATTATTTTAATTAAAAAAAAAAGAAAAATAATTTTTACTAAAAAAAAAAAAAAAAAAAAAAAAATGTTTTAAAAAAAAAAAAATTATTTTTAAAAAAAAAAAAAAAAAAAAAAAAAATACGAGATAAATCGGATTAAATTCATATAGAAATCATATAGAACCTGTAATCAAGGTAGAAAATGTTGATGGAAAAAACACGAGTCACGGATAGAAGATGCAAGGTACGTGCACGCAGACACAGGTTGGTGAGGTTAATTCTCTTCTGCAGAACAATGGTGCCCAGCAACTAGCCTCCGAAGCGACGGTGTACATCGTCCTGGAAGACGTTAACGACGAAATACCTTTGTTCACCGAACGCGAGCAAGAAACTGTACTGGAGGGCGAACCAGTTGGCAGTAAGGTTACTCAAGTCAACGCGATTGATAAGGATGGCACTTTCCCGAACAATCAGGTGAGTAGAGACCGCGAGAGCGAGACCATTTCAGTAACTTCGCTGTCGAACGTTCAATGAAACGCTACATTCCACTGAACGGTCACGAATTTTAATAATTTCATAATTATTTAATATCATTAACAGTATCATTAATTATGAACGATAATTATAAACGACGAATTATCGATATCATTTAATAACTAGATGAATTTAATAATTTTAATAATCTTACTTGACGTATATTTAATAAAATATTTGGTTGAAACCTGGTGCTGGAACGAAGTGGGATTCATTACGAGGGAAGGTTTGTACCTTCCTTCTTTGTCTTATCGTTTCACCTTTCGTGATTATGGGATTATTCGTCAAATACGGAAAGGCTTTTAATCAAAAGGGACATTCCGTTGTTCGATTCCCGTGACTCGAGCCTTGGGTTCTAACATATTTTTAACGCGACCGAGTATTTAAAGTAGGAGAGCGTTAATCGACGTTACACTCATCAGCAAGTTTCGATACTATTACTCAGCTGTTAACTAACTCTCGCGATTTTGGATTACACTCGCAGACTTCAATTACACGCTCTGTCTACTCGGTGTACTCCGTGTTCCGAGTTTGTGTACAACATTCAATCGTTTGCACGCAAACGCTTGTGTCGGTTATTTAGAGATCGTTGCTCGTCGATTTATCATATAATTTGGCAAATTCGTAACGTGTGATACTACGAATTGTGCTTGTGCATTTCCTGAACCGTGATGTTCGGGCATCATTCGTTGATCTAATTCTTCTTTCCATCAAGTGTGAAATCATTATACATACGATTGTGATGGAACAGGCGAAACTTGACGGAGAGAAGAATCAAAAGAATTTTGATTTACAAACGCAATTGCAGAATTATCAACGTTGCAACGAGTTTGTGCAAATCAACGAGTAATTTTATATAATGATTTCGAGTTACGCTCGTGGAAACGAATGGCACGTTGAAATCTGTTCTAAAATTTACAATCTGTGCATTTACGAAGCTGGTAGAGTTTGCCTCAAAACCGAGCACAAGGACGACGTCAACAAAATTGGAATACCAGAGTTTCTGTCCTCGAGCATTGTTGACCAGCGCAAACACTCTCAGTCGCGTAGCAAAATATAGGTTTGTAGGGCTTTCCTCCCCCGACTTGTAGAGCGAGGCAGGTATTTAGAAACCTAGGCACACGTGAAATCAGTGTTTCCTTCGAATTCCTTTCGAATTAGTCGCTCGTCGTTCTTCGGCAAACCGCGTTGCTTCTTTTGATAATATTTTCAGCCTGAAACTACGTACAATTACACACGATTGCGGAGTTCGTTTGAAATTCGAAAGAAATTTTTTTATAAAGAAACGAGCGAAGACAAAATAGGTCGGAAACGTATCAGCACAGTTTTTTGACGATATCGTTACGAATGCAAATGAAATATAATAGCAACGTTTGTTTCCATAAACAGTTCACTACGTACAAAAAGTATTATTTCGTTGTTCGAGTTCGAAGGGATCGATGAATGTAAAATACCATGTAAAACATTACGAATAATGATGCTTTCATTTTGTATTAAATTACGGTACAACTTGATTTGTGTTGTTTTCAATTTACACAAATCGTGAGAGATTTATTCGGGATACTAAGTGAAATGTACACGGTTGAGGTACATAATTTTCAAGTGATACATCCGCTCGTCGAAAGAAAGCTTAACATCAACCTTTCTCGCGCGAAGTGACAGCTTTTTCCGAGATAGTTTCGTTCTTTCTGAATAAATATCAGAGTAAACGGATATATTATTCCGATCGGGAACTTTGTTAATTTCACGCAGTGAAATCGTGTTTGTCGGAGTCGCGGTTACGATGGAAATGCCATGTAACTTTGTTCGCCGCGTAACGTCGTTACACGGCAAAATACTGTGATTAAATTTAATCGCGCGAACCTCGCCTGCGTCGAGGTATAATTTAAAACGTCGTGTCGCGAATACAACGCGTGTCACGCCCAGATGTACAACAATTGACGTTCATTCGCTACTTTTGTTGTTTCTTGCAAGCACCGCCGCGTATTTACATTTCTTTTTCTCTCTCTCTTTTTTTTTTTTATCAGCATTGAAACGAATATTCTGCTTTGTATTATTCCCCGAACGAGCAAAAAGCATCTCTCCGGGGGAGCTTTCAAGCCGGTTTGCCTCTAGAAAAAGAGGCACGAAACAGAGTCGAGACAGTTAAATGCCATTTATTTTTCCAACCGATGGCCAGATCTCGTGAACTTTTACTAAACTGCCGAGTTTGCGAGGAATATTCCACATCTTTCCCTTATCTTTACGCGTATTGTAACTAAAAAGAAATTTTTTCGATTTCGAGAACTAATTTCTACTGTACATACACCGGCGGACCTCTGTTTATTTCAACGAAACTTGCCAGGAAGGGAAATTTAATCATTCGCAACGTCACGTAAGCGAATTTGCAACGAGATACTCTTGTCTCTGGACGATTCGAATTTTATTTTTGTTAGTTATCTGTTTGTAACAATATCATAGCTCTGCTGCTGGCTAAATACTTTAAAGAACGAATAATCGTTAGTCGAAACTTCGCGATTGCGCGATCGATTTACGCGAACGAGCTAATTATCTGTCCAGAGCTAAGTTTTCCTGCACGATCGTTTTGATATCGTCAATGATTATTAATAACATTGCTTCGTAGTATTGGCAGCGCCGGTGTTATTAATCGAAACCGTATTAATTAATCTAATTGACTCGTCTTTGTCGACGATATATCACTGCTCTGTCACTTCGAATTTCATTCTGCTCGGCGTGACGCAATTCGAATTCCGAACTCGAAGGTTCCCGATTCGTTTAGCTTCTTTTCACCGGGAAACGGCTACGTGATTTCAACGCGATGGCGGCACGTTTATTTCACTTCTTTCGATTTACCGTCGCATAGTAGTGCAAGCATCGCTGATTTTTTGATTTGCGACGCTGAATTCACCCTTTCTTGCTGTGTTTTCTCCCTCTCTCTCTCTCTTTCTCTCTCTCTTTTCATACAGATATTTCTGTAACACGCTTCCATGCGTTTTTCGATCGATTTTCGTTTGCGCGAGAACTGTATGAAAGTTTCTAAAAAGCATCATTTTTCTTTTACTTTTTCTCTTTCCCTGAATTCTCTCTCTCTCTCTCTCTCTCTCTCTCTTCTTTTTTCTTCTTTTGTTTAAATTCCGGAGGAATGTCACGAATGTTCGAAGTTACTTCTCATTCCGTATAAAACGAGAACGAGCGCGGGCGGGTAGACCGAAAAAAAGAAAAAAAAAAGAAAAAAGAAGAAAAACGTATCCGGAACGTTCCAGCTTGGAAATTATTGGCCCGAAAGTTCCTGTTTATTGGAAACTTTAAGATATATTACGATTGGAAATTCAGTTGGTAAACACAATGGATATAATTCCGTATTTTGCGCCGAAATCGATGTGTACGTAATGTAATGAAATATGTATAAGGTTTTAAACGATCGGATATGCAAATACACGTAAAATGTAATCTGCCAGTAAATATTCCGGTAAAATTTTTCGCATTTTCGAAAAAAAGAAGCAATATGCATATTTTCGCGAAAAATCAATCATTTCGGTGTTACCAAAATTCTTTTAATTTTCGAAAACGTTTCGCAGCTGCGAAAACATTTTTAAATCTTTTGATCCTTCAGAAGCTTTTAGATTTTCAAATTTCCGTGTTTTTGAATTTTGAAATTTCCGTGGTTTGTTCTGAACTGTAATAAAAGAATCATGCAGTTGCGTATGTACGTATTTCCTCTGTAGTTTCTTCAAAATAACGGTGAGAGAGGATCAAATCACATACAGCGAAATGCGTAACTATAGCAATGGCAATGGAAAATTGTCGATAATTTAAACTGATGGAACTTTGTAAAAAGAGATTATATAACGATCCACTTGGTCTCGTATTGAAGCGTGAAGCTTCTACTTTGACAGTCGTGAGTATTATTCTTTTCAAAGGTGATCTGGTTTTCGATCACGTAGCTGTTGGGAAAGTGAGGATACATTTTTTCTTGAAAATTGTAAAAATTCAGACGCGAGTGAAAACACTAAAAAATTTTTTCTGCGACTAAATTTACCGTGGTCACGAGGATTGAGATTTTTTTTTCTTTGCAACGATCTCTCAGAACTTTATTAAACATTGGGATTAGATGACAAACGTTAGAAGTTTTTCCATTTTTGTCTCGTTTAACTCTAATATTCAATGTTTGATAAAGTAATGAAAAAAAAAAAAGAAAAACAAGTTTTGAGAGTTTGTTGTAAAGAAAAAGCTTCAATCTTCGAAACGATGGTGGATTTAATTAATAGAATTTTTCAAGAGAAACGTATCTTTTCATTCGTTACATGATACAAAGTCGTCCTCAAAAGAAACGGAATCACGACTATCAAAGTAAAAGCTTTGCAATTTAAAATGAGATCAAGTGGATCTCTACGTAATTTTCTTCTGCCAGTTAAAAAATTATACCAGCTAAAAAGTCATCCATTGGTACATACAATTTCGTTTATATAAACATTTCAGGGGACAAATATACTGGAATTCATACATCAGATGTACCGATGAGTTTTAAAACGTTTCGTCGCAAAATTCAATTTTATTCGTGAAAGAACGAATATATATATATGTATATAGTCTAATATCTTACGCCATCTGTCAGGCAGCTTACGAGTTTCAATAGTGAGTAGTCATCTTTTGGCGCGAAGAAATCGCGAATGCGTTTCTCTGCCTGTTCGAATGTTTTAAAGTGTCAAACGAAGTGTTTTGCATTGATCGAGACAAATGATAGTCGAAAGGATCTGTGTCTGGACTATACGTCGGGTGTTACAAGAATTCTCAATCGAGCGTACGTACGCGTTTCGTTGATCGATGTGAGACGTCGTGTCGTTACGAAGCAATTCTATCATGTCAAGACACAGTCCTTTGTCAGTGAATGCGCGCTTTAAATTAATTTTCTCGTTCAATTGCGGCAGTTGTTGTTCATAGTGATCAGTGTTGTCAAATAGAGCTTGTGATTCGTCAGTTTTGATCTTCACAGGGACGCCGGTACGTTTACGTTGAAATCACAATTTTCGAAACTTACTCGTATTTTCAGACACGATATTATCCTCAACAATAGAACAAAACGATCACGCTTTTTTCCGTGATCCAAAATTCTTTCTCGCTCGTCATTGTCAAACTTGAGCTTAATTATTAGGTTAGCTTTGCAATTATTGCCAAATCAATCGCCATTTTTAACACGTTGCTGTAAATTGACAAAAGAGCGGGAAAATGCTTGAATTTCAAACGACGATTACACGTTACCTTAACCTCTTGCGCTGGAATGACGTGTCACGCACGTCGAGAATTTCTTGTCCGTCAAATTGCAACATTCTCTCAGTTTAGTATATTTAAATGTAATCCGGGCGAAACGAATGATACGTTTATTACTTCTTAATAATTTCTATCCAGTGATGTCGTATCGACGAGTTCAAAAGAAAAAAGAAAAGCGACAAATTACACGGTTACAGTTGTACTCGGTCACTCGTTATGGTCCGCGCGAACCAGTTGCCAGCGCAAGGGGTTAAGAAGAAAACTTATTTGCTGGCTAGACACTTTACCGACCGTTAATCTGTTAATAGGCTACCGGTCGGTAAAGTGTCGATTATTACCTCTAGTGATTTCTCGTTCACGTAGAGAACTTACAACTATATTCGGGTACAAATAATAATGAATTTAACCGAGTAAAAAGAGTTCGTTTAACCGAGTATTTTGTTCCAAATAAATATGGAGTACTGTAATATCGGGCACGTTTCTCGTGTTTCAGGTGACGTATTACGTGGTGGACAGCGACAGGAACGAGGGGAAGGATTACTTCGAGATCAACAGAGAAACCGGCGAGATCTTCACGAAGGTGATGTTCGATCGCGAAAAACAGGGCGCTTACGCGCTGGAGGTGGAGGCCAGGGACGGCGCGCCATCCGCGAGACCCAACAGCAACGGCCAGCCGAATTCCGGTGAGTCGACCATTGAATTTCCTTTGCACGGCAATCTTATGGCCATAAATGACTGGAAAATGTCGGACGAAATTGAATCCGCTCTAAAGCACGGTGCAATAGCATTTTCTTGCGCGAAAGCGTCTGCGTTGCGCTGATTTAGGAACGATCGATTCCGCGAATCTCGCCGAAAGTTTGAACTACGGGCCACGTGGCCGTAAAATTATCATAATTATCGCGACATTTCGTCTTGGAAATTCGTCGCGTCATTTTCAACTTGGAAAGAGAATGTTCGAAGAGGCCCGAACGTAGATGATATTGAGAAACGCGGTTACGTCGAACACTTTGTTCCACGAACGGAGTTCCTGCCTTTTGTAAATTAGGCAAAACGTTTGCTCTGCGTTTGAAGGCGACGTATGATATATACCGGCAACTTTATTCCGACTGGGCTGCTCTTTGTCAAAGCGAACTCAGAATCTAATAAGTTCGCCTCGAGAGCTGATACCCTCTTCCGTCGTTGTGTCAAATACGGGATGGTTCTACTATATTAAAAAAAAGTCAGTCGAAGGGTAAGGAATGAAATTTCTTGCTCTTTGAAGACTTCGAGTTTGAGAATTTGTCAAGTATATTTGCAATTGACTAGGCTAACGACAGAAAAGTACAGTTAATAGAAGGTTATTCCGTGTAATAAATAATAAATCTTGCGATGCTTTATTATCGAGGTGATCGAGCTTGATAGTTTATCACGAGAAATTATTCAAGGTTCTATTTTCTTCAAAGTGATGAACAATCTTCATTTATTTTTGGAATATCCTCGCGAACAAATTTTCGACTCGATGCTTTTTCATCCTGCAGAATCGTCGAAACATTGTTCTTAAATACATCGCGCGATTCAAAGGCGCGAGATCGTATAATAACCAGCGCAGCTGGTTGAAAATGCTTTCAAGCCCGAAACGTTAAACAGGTTATGACGAACCTGTGGTTTGCAGCGGCAACGTTTGCCTCTTGGTCCTCCCTCTTGGTTTCGAATTCCGTCCTCCGCTTGCAAATTTATCGGGAATACTGCGATACCGTACTCAATTCCTTGGCTGACACCACCAATGTGCCTGCCGCGCGTCCACCGTGGAATTTGCAATCGCGTAATGTTTGCCCGGCAAATTATGCCGCACGTGTGCTTAAGGAGCGAGCCAATTGGTCACGTACCGTTGGTAACTTTTCATGAGAGAGACCACACGGCAACGTTTACGTGTGTTCGATCGCGTTGTTTCGCGTCCAATCAGTCGCTTACCAACGGAAATCCGAGGGACGACCAAGCGAATTTATGTGACGTTTCACTGAGGGGTGAAACAAATGGGATTTCGGGCGAGATGCATGCAACGCGGGCATCTTTATGAAGATGCAGAGGCATTCTCCCGAGGTGTTCCGGCCTTTAGGAGGAGTAAGTGGCGGAGTAGGGATCGTCACGACCTAGAAACGTGTAAACAGCAAGGTTGAATGAGAAATTTTTTTCTCTAGCTGCGTGACAATCTTCATTTCTTCTCCCCTTCTCCTCTCCTTCCAGGTTTCTCGTTCACGCGCGAAAGAGAACACACTTTGAGGGGCTTCGTTCCCGTTTCACTTTTGAAAGAACGGTCGTTAATACGGGGCAATTTCTTGTGTCGATTTTCCTTTTTTTTTTTTTCTTTTTTCTTTTTGCTTCTTCCTTTTCGACGAAATGTCTTTCGAAACAACCTCTCTGGACGGGAAGGCGGGAATGAAAAATTCGAGGAGCGCAGCGATGTTAACGACGCAGAGAGAAATTGAGCGACAAATAAGCGCCATTACACGTCATTAACCGCGTTCCGCTTTGTCACGCTAAAAATTGTGAATGTTCTCGACTGTCCCGCGAAACTTCTAATTTGAAGTTTAAAGGGACCCCGTAACTTATAGTGACTCTTGTCGAAAAGGTATTCAATTTACTGTCTAATTTCCTCGCGAATTGTCTTGACGAGTAACAACGTCACCAATGTACATGCCGCAAAATGTACATGCGAGACTTACCAGTTTGTAAAATCCACTCTCTCTTTCCCCCCGAGATACATTGCAAAATATCATTTCGCTTTATTTCTCTCGATGCCGTGAAAAAAAGAAAAAAAAAGAAAGAAAGAAAGAAAGAAGAAAAATTCGATCGTCCATCCGTTCGTTTTCACGTGAAATCTTGAAACTCGCGGAGCCGTTTTTAATTTTCTTTCTCCAAATTGAACGTCCTTTTGGTCGTGTAGCGTTTCACAGGAATCGAGACAACAGTCGGTTGAACCCCGTTGCTAAAAAGTTTCCATCGCTGTGAAATTTCCTGTCTCTTTCCTCTCTCTCTCTTTTTTTTTTCGCCAACCTGGTGAATTTTCATTCCCATCTTCAAACATTGAACTTTCATCTGCGATTTTGGGAGTTACTCGACGCGAGGCCGCGCGAATTTTCCCCGGCGTAGTGAAAATAACAAAAAAAAAAAAGAGTCGGCGAAAACGTTGAAAATTCATTCGGCCCCCGTGTGTAACTTTCGACGGTGTGTTTTTCAGGATAAACAATGAACTCGCAATTTTACGGAGTTTACGCGGATTCCGCGTTCATGCGTCTCATCTTGAACAAAGGTTGACTTGAAGCAATTAGAGTAAATGACGGAATCCTTTGTGAAAAGAAGCAGAAATGGTAGAGAGCGCACTTGCGTCACGCAGGCAACTCCGTAAATCTTTCTCTAACTCTACCTAGTGAACTTTAACTCTTTTCCCTTTAAACTGAAATCCAGATCTTTTTTGCTGCACTACGTGCTCTCGTAGTACGGAATATTCTGCCTCCCCCCCCCGTACAAGCCGAGGAAATAAAACGCTTGGCGTTTAAATAAACAGTATGAAATATTTTTACCTCTTATCTTGACCCATTTACGGTGTACAGCGAGATGGAAAATACACCCTTGCCGCTGAGATTCTTTTTCCGCCGTTCCGATGTGAAACGAAATTTGTTGCCATTATCTGCGTAAGTCGTTTCTCGATCGATAAAAATCAGAACTGACTTCCACTTGTTTAACGCTATAAATTAGTCCTTTATGCAGATAATCGCATAAAGTTTGTTGCAAAAAATTTTTACTCTTAGATAAAATTCACCGTCATTGGAAATCAAATTCACCCTTTTGCAAATCGAGTCTTCCTCGAGTCGTTATAATAAAAAAATATCATCTACATTATGTTTGTTTAAATGTCTGTCTACGTTTTTCTATATTTGTTTTCTTAAGCTGCTGTAAACGAAAAATAAAATCCGATGTAGAGTTGTTATTCGGAAATCGAAATTTTATATTACGATTAACTTGAGCGGGAACTAACACAAAATGAAATTGACATAATAACATAAAATAAAATTGACGTAAAATATAACACCGAATAACATAAAATAAACATAAAATGAAATTAACGTAAAATGCAAATATAACAGCAAAAGGTGTGAACTGGTCATCTTTCGAGTACTAACTCTCACGATCGCACAAATAATTACGAGTAGAATCACGAAAAATAACAGAACGACATTTTTGAGTCGTCGTCTATAAAATTTGATTTGGGGGGCGAAAATTTGATCTGCCAATTTTATGTGCAGTTTTATTTCCAGATCTACAAAAAGAGATTAACCCACAGTGCAGTAAAGTGAACATAATCTGCAAGAAGGGTGAATTTGAAATGCATAGCCTGTATACACATTCTTGACACGTACTTTCGAGCACGTACACTCTTTGACATGATCATACACTTTTTTGGCGGGGAATCATACACTTTTCAACGTAATATACATATATATATATAAGTTCTTAGCGAAACAATTCTACCGAATTCATCTGTCGATTTTGACGAAACGATGCTTTCGTCATAGTAACAGATGGCCGCGATAGATGACGATGCAAGAACACTGATCACTATTTTCAACACCTTTATACGCGATCATAAATCTCGCAGTGATTATTCCATTATTGGATTCTCGATGTACACGTTCTCCTCGGTCGCGAACGACCTCTTATTGTTAGATTCCGGGGAATTCACACCGTGTAACGTGTGCATTTGGTTAGCATATTTGACGGCCGTGTCTACACCAGATTAAATTTCGAACAATGCCACGTTTTTTTTCACCGGGCGATGGTAAATTTGTCCATGTTAACAGATTAGCTTGAGCAACTTGGCGAGCTCTGTTCAACGTGAAACGATAGTTGAGCACGTGTAATTTTTCTCTCGCAGATAAATTGTTTCTGGTGAGAGTAATTCAGTGATGTTGTTAGGGTGATAGCATCGTGATGACGGTGTGTCTCGTATCGAGTCCCGAATCTCTAATCCTGCGAGGTCTCGAGATCTCTCCCCTTTCCTCGCACTGCAAATTAACTTTTGCATATTCGCACTTCTGATCAAATTCATTCACCCATTTGCAAATCGAGTTTTTCCAAAAGTTCCTTTCCTCTGAGCTATTGTAGTAAAAGTAAAATCCGAGGTAAGATAAAAATTTTATCACGCGCGTTTAATAAAATACTTGACCAACAAGAAATAACGTAAAATTAATATGAAATATTTATTTAAATACTAAATACTCAAAGTATTTATGTACACATATGTAGATTTACCCCCAATGCAGATTTTTTATATATATGTATATATTTTTTAGAGAGTTTTTTATATATATATGTATATATTCATACAATAGTTATGACAATTTGTAGGAGGGACAGTTGCAACGTCACTAAACATGGTTTTAGAAAATATTTCTTGCGCAGAATTTAATTTCCTAACCCAAACCTTTTAAATTGGCGTTCGTACGATACATCGAGGATTATTTCATTTTTAAATCAACCACAAAGTGAACTTTGATTCGCGAGTATGGCGAATTTCATTTGCGAGAAGGTGAATGGGTTAATCTATAGCGCAGAAAAGGAGAATACGATCTGAAAAGGGGTTAATTTGGAATCGAAAGAACCTGGAATCCGACTCCTCGATCCCGAATCGCGATTATTGAATAGT